TTGTTTAAACCCATCTGCAACATTATAAAAGGTTGCCTGTACGTACATGCATGTATGTTCTCTTCTTCTTCTCCTTCTCCTTTACATTCTGCGAAGATAACCGGTCGACAATTAAAAATACGCCTTTTTGAGCTGTGCTCCAAAACATGCAATATCTATCAAACTTCTTAATCTCCTTGTCTCTATTCCTTCGAATCGTCACTGATTTCCAACACAAATGGGACAACGACGACAATCTGTCGTTGTCATTCAGCTGTTGCTACTTTCAGTGATCTGTCTGCCAGAAGTGTCCACATATCGGGTCAAGAAAGCTTCGCCACAAACACTTAGTCGAATTAAACAACTGATCAACGAACAAATTCATAAGTAAGCACTTTAGTGATAAGTTATATTGCACTATTCTTATTTTCTTTTTCTAATTCTTACATATATTCTAACCAAATTGTTTATCTTTGTCTAAATGAATTCCAAAACCGCTAAAAAGATTTTAAATGTTGCTAGCACATAGTCAGCTTAGCGCAGATAAATATGCGTCAAAGAAACAGGCAGTTAACGAAAACAGAAGAATTTTATTTCATTTAAGTCTATTTTCCTTGTTCACTGCCAATGACGGGATGGTGTTTGCCTAGATGTTCGCTACTTCTGCTTTTTATGGTCAATTAAGTTATTTGTGTTAAAAATTTTAGTTTTTCAAGCCAGCCGAGGAAATTCAAATGCGTCAGATTTTATCTAGTTGTATTTTGCATCACTAGTTATCCATAAGTTATATGCATAAAGAGACTTTTGTTCAAAATGTTAAAAGTTCAACCAGTGCTTTGTCATTGTTTCGAAATACATATCAGACGGTAGTTATTACAAAATTTTTTAATCAGATGGACTCAGCTAATATCAAATAACAATCGTAAGAAATACTTAACGAATTTGTTTTGTTAAATTAACAAAGAATTGAATTAATTCAGTGAAAATGAGAAACCTGGAGCTCTGCTACAGTCAGATGCAGTTATTTTTGGAAGAAAAGATCCAAACAGTCATCGTCACTTGGACGAATTGTCTGTTAACGATCCGGATCAGTATTTTCAGGTTTAAATTTGTTTTTTTTTTTCAGCAAACAGTGGATGATGGAAGTGAAAATTTTGAAACAATTAATTGATTTTTAAAAATATGTTTTTTCCCAGTTATCTTCTCTATAAAACATAACTGCTGAAATGAATTTTTATTTATAAAAAAAAAAAACTAATTGTTGCAAAGAGCATTAGTTTAACGAAATTAGTTTACTGCACTGTCAATGTTATTTATATTTTACAGGGAGATGTTGATTTGTCCGAAAAGCAAGCACAACTTTTGAATGATGAGTTAGAAACATTGGTCACTGAAAATGAATTAAATCATCATGTTGAAAATGTCAGAAGGAAAAGGTAACTTGTTTTTTCGTTGGTTTTTTTTTTGATTGTTTTGCAGTATGGGAATCACTATAGCCTGCGAAAGTGTATTCTGGACTGGTTGCTAAAATTACAAAGGTAGTTCTAGATGCAATCTAAACTTGAACAGCTAACTTGTCTTGCGGTTAGGTCTTCGAAGGAGAGAATGCTTTTTTTTTGCGTAAAGGTGAATTTAAGATAATAAAAATGACAATAGACTTTTTTCAAAGTATGCTATCTAAAAAATGATTGAGGTGAAACCGGACTCAAGGTCAGAAGAGAAATCTATCGATGGTTTATTATTCTTAGTAATATTACAAACTTCCAAATAATAAATTTTAAAGATGTTATTTTTTTTTCATCTTTTTAACTGTTATCGCTTATGCACAATGGTGAGGTATTTTAGAGTGTAAAATAAATCGAAAGTTGTTTTGGAACAACGAAAGTCAACAATTTCTTTGATAATTCGACCTTCGACTAAATGCAGTGTTCGTTGTTGTCTTAGCTTTGATACCTATTACACCGATATTATTTCCAGAAAAATTGGTCGAGAACCTCTTTACAATCGCTGGGATCGTAATCATCCAATAAGCTATGAATTTGATCGATCAATTCCGTATGCAACCAAGGAAAAAATTAGAGATGCAATTAGCCTTTGGGAGCAGAATACCTGTATCAGATTTAAAGAAAATGGGCCTAGTGTAGATCGAATTGAATTTTATAACGGAGGCGGTTGCTCAAGTTTTGTTGGCAGAACTGGAGGCACACAGGCAGACGAATTATTTACTTGAAATTTTTTTTCTTTTTAAACGTTTACAGCAGCTCATCTAAAACATTCTTAACTAGCTAATTAGACTTGCAGTTGTGTTTTAAAAAAGCCAAATGTTTCTCTGCATATATACTTCTCGCAACCCTTCGAGTGTAGTTTTTTCATAACAGTAATTGACATTATAGGGAGTCTCAATTGCAACGCCTGGTTGTGATAATGTTGGGATAATTTCGCATGAGATTGGCCATGCTCTTGGGATTTTTCATGAACAAGCACGCCCTGATCAAGGTGCTAATATATATGTCAACTACCAAAACATTCCAATTAGTCGATGGAATAACTTCCAGCCAGTTTCCTCTACACAAGCCGAAACATACGATTTACCCTATGATGCAGGTAATTGATCTCTTCTGATTTCTCTTTGTTGAGGTAATTTTCCACTTTAAAAAGTGGCAATCAACATCTGTTGCTACTAAGCGTTCAACATTTCTCAGTAGTTTAACCTTTTTAAAACTAGGTCTGATTTTTAATCTTAATGTTTTTTTCATGGACTAACTTGCTTCTTTCTACTGCTTAAGTTAATCGGTAACTGCTTTACATCTTCTGAATTACAGTCAACTATTTAAAGCATGACGTTTGGTTGACAGAGTTCACTTGCAGTTGTTTTGAAAGTTTATTCAGTGAAGTAAATTGATTAAAGTCTATACACAGATATCAATAAGATGTTTGGTGATACGAAAATTATTTAATAAGAAATAATCATGTATTTTCTAAACGCTCGGTTATAGTACAACCTGTACCCTTATGCAGGATCAGTGATGCATTATGGACCATATGGATTTGCATCCGACCCGTATGTTGCTACAATTATCACCAGGGACAAATCTCTTCAGTCAACAATTGGACAACGAGAAGGTCCATCATTTCTGGATTTTCAAGCTGTAAGCGACAGTGCTGCTGAATCACTAATTCAGTGATGATTTAGTGTTGGACATGCAGTATATTTTGCAGATCAATAAAGCATACCGTTGTAACGAGCACTGCCCTTCCTCGGCATGTCTTCATGGTGGTTATCCAAATCCAAATAACTGTTCGCAATGTACCTGTCCAAAAGGTTTTGCCGGCGACTCGTGTGAACTTCTGCAGTATTCATCGTGTGGTGAAATGATCGAAGTACGTTTCAAAATTTTGAATTTTTATCATTGCGCTTCAATTGCTTACGTTATCTTCTAAAGTTTATTGATCGCTCTGGTGATCTAACTTTTTTTCATGACAGCTTTCTGACACCGGTCAACATCGTACTAATAATCTGAAATAATAACTGACACTTACACAACAATTTCTGTATTTTAGGTTTCTCTTAAGCCTACGCTCATTTCAAGTCCAAACTATCCAGGCTACTACCCGCATAATTCTGAGTGTATATGGTTGTTTAAGGCACCTGAAGGTGGTAGAGTCTATTTTGAATTTACAGAGACGTTTGAATTATTCTGCGAAGATACTTGTGACAAAGCTTATGTGGAACTAAAAGTTAACGAAGATTTTCGTAAAACGGGATACAGGTGCAATTTGAAGTGCAGTATCATATTTTCACTAGTAGATCTTATCATAAAATTTTTATAGCTGTCTTTGCAGAATGTTAACCTTAATTAATTAATATCGACTAGTAACGTTTGTGTAAACGGTGCCCTTGTAGGTTCTGCTGCCCTAAGGTTCCCGAAAAAGTTTTTGAATCAAAAACTAATGAAATAATTGTAATTTTTCGTGCTAACCAGTATATGGCGAGAGGATTCCAAGCGAGAATATGGACAGACAAAATAACCCCAGATGAGGTTACAATAATTAGTAATAGCTGTAAAAAAATGTTTATTTTTTGCTTTCTTTTTTCTTCTTCTATGAAAGATTCCCGTTTTTCTAATGAAACAGTATTTTCTGAATTTTCTGTTTCTAGAAATTATCGAAAGAAATAGCAACAGTGCTGCCTAAACCGCGGACTACCACAGTTACACCGCGTTTTCCGCTGACTAAAAAAGTTTTAAAACCATCAGTATCGGTCCCGATGTGGGGATTCACAGTAACCACTCGACAGCCACTAACTGCAGCCAGCACTAATCAGCCTTCATTTTGGTCTGTGTCAACAACCACAGTTCCGCCAGAGATCTTTCCAACAACTACGAAACTGTCTTGGATAAATCCGAAGATAAGACCGCAAACAGCTAAACCCGGAGAAGGTGCTAACTACCGACTAATTAAAATAGTTCTTGCATGATCATAACAAGATAGTGGATAAAATTGGAGCTGAATTGTAAAAACAGTGTAAAGTAGTTATATTTCTGTAACGAAAAAAATTATTTTACAGTTTATTAACTGTTAGGTTCTTCTGGTGAGAACTGCATATGTGACGAATGGGGTGAATGGACATCGAGTTGCACTCAACAATGCGGCGGTTGTGGAAGGCGTACCAGAATAAGATCATGCAGCTCTAAAGATTGTCGTGCGGAGGAAAAACGTGCCTGCAATTTTAAAGCATGCCCACCTGGCATTAACTTTTTGATTAACAACGGAGAATTTCATATATTGTGGAAGGTAATTGGTTCAACTTCCTTGAAAAAATTTATTTGAACTTTTTAAATTATTACTCAGAGTATTTTTTTCAAAGACTGTTGGTTGATACATGTTGAGTCTTATCTTTTCTGCTCAAACTTGTAGTAATTTGGTGCCATCTCGCTGAGGATTCTGTGGTTATGCATTACTCGAGGATTTCAGGGTTGTTGTGTCGGTTTGTTCCGTTCTGGAATGGAATGTTCTTCGTTGGAGGACGAAGAGAATCCACTGTTAACACTTTTGAATGCCTTTCTTATACCGCAGGATGAGAAACGGAATCAAACTCCGACACATGAACGATCTGAACGGTTGGCTCAATATACTTGTACAGTTTTTTTATAGCTGAGTATGGTGGTATTGAAAAAAGGTTTTTTTGCAATAACACTTTCTTTTTTTAAAAATGAATCGTAAATTGAGAACTTGCTTTTTAGACAAAAATCAGTTATTTTTAGGTTGTCAAAACAGGATTCAACAACGTTACCTGCAAATACGTTTGTGAAGAATTTTCTGCAAGATCTGCACAAAATGCAGCTTAATGAAACATCACAAAATGCAGGGAAATTTTCTGTAGATCGTTGAATAGTCGTTATTGCTATGTAGGCTTTCTAAAGTCGACAGTTCTGAAAATTTCCTTTTGCTTTTATTTTAATTTCCTTCTCTTTATTGTAAAAGTATTATTGCTATTGTTCGTCGTCTAATATTATCAACAAATTGTTAGAACTATCAGTTGCAGCATGACTGATTTACGTTTCTGTAGCTAATATTTTAGCTTATCAAAACATATTTTTGAAAAAGAAAACAAACTGTGTTTTATTTAATAGATTTACAAATTTCTTTAACGAATCAGTCAACCACTTAATGCTTCTGGTTTTTTAATATAAAATTTCTGTTGGATAGTATAATATTTCACCTTTGAAGATATTCAAAATTTTTGGAAGCTTAGTCAACTGTGAATTTAGATTTGAAAGTTTAAGGTTATTTTGTGATAATTTTTGACAATGATTTTCACTAATTTTTATTCGTTATAAAAAATTGTTTTGCAACTTGAAAACTTATCTCTTTAACAAATTACAGTTACAGAGTTGAAACAGAATCTTACAAAAAAATTTTTTTTGTATCTTATAGCAGAAATTTCTAAAGTTTAGTCACAACAAAAAAAAGAAAGACCGTTGAGCAGCCTTTGAAATTTCTAGGTTATTTTCTGAATAGATTTTTCGAAGCGGAAACATCAGTTTCTCTTAGGTTTATTGAAGACTTTTCTTTTTTTTTTTGCTGTTTTTCTTTCTGTACTTTTTAGTAAAAGGTTATTTTGTTGAAATGCACATCAGAAGAATACTATTTCCATTGTCTATTACCTGTATTTATTGTACTTTAATCTTTTGATGTTTTATAAAACTTTTTGCTACAACTGGCAGTGAAAAAATACAATATTTTGATTTTTCTTTGGTCAAAAATTTTGGGACAATATATAAAATTTGCAATTAATCACTGACTTTTACCGCTCCTGGCTTATAGGGCTATAGATTTTAAGTTTAATAAATAGCCATCGTATACGAATTAAATGAAGCCATTTATTACTGGGTGTTTCGTCGGGACTAAAGCAATTAAGAAACTTTTATTAGGATATGCCGTAAGAATGAAAAGAAAGTTTGGCTTCAATAAATTTTTTTTGGTATATTTTGATTATCAAAAGGTAATTTGATCTCTTAGTTAAATTTCAGCCTGTTACAAAAAAAAAAAACTATTTCCAATTTTAAAGCGAAGCAAGCTTAGCTGGCAAAACAAAACAGAAAACCTATTTCGGTTTGGTGGTGTAAATTTGTGTAAATTTTGCTCAAATGATAGTTTATCAGTTCCAACAAATACATCATCATATACTGCGTACTGGCAGCTTATTTCACTACAACACATGTCAAAAAAGTACTGTAATTTAGAACTTAAGTTTATTTTTGAGCAGCTAGGAACTTACTCAGTTTTACCACTTGTTGTAGCAAAAACCTTTTTTTTACCAGTTTACTTGAACCTTGTTTGTCGTTTAAGAATTTAAGCTATAATAAACAGAAAACGTTGTTGCTCATCTTGTAAAGGGACGAAGTGATGGTATAATATAAATTGGGAAGCCTGCTAATTAAACGTGTTAAACGAAATGTAGCCAGAAACACCCAAGAAATTACACTGATTATATACCGTCGAAAGAAATTGATGTTTCTACGAAGCCGAAGTTAAGTAAAGCATTGAAATCCGAACATCATCTGAACATCATACGATAATGAGATCCCCTGTTTTTTTTTTTTTTACTACAAACAGTTTGTTTTACAAATTAATTGCAATATTATGCAACAAATTTAACGTAAATTTTTTCTTTTTATTTACTAAGTCTGATGGTTATTAATAGAACAGCAGTTTAGAAACAATGTAAAACAAATCGGTGTCATTGTTTTTTTTGAACACTCCCTATTCTTCATTCTTTTCATTGTTTTTTTTTTCTTTTTCAGTTAATATAATAAAATAAAAAGGTACAAATTTTTGTGACACATAAAGAATATTAAATCAATATCAAAAAAAAAAAAAAAAAAAA